GAAGAAATGCTGACAGGTACAGCTGTCCATCTGTGTATGATGTCCACCCCTCCTGCAGCATCCTCACCCAACCTGGCCAGGCTCCAGACTTGCTGCTACTGTTTCTATGCTGTTTCACCACTGTCCAAGCACGGATACACCTGGGAACTGCGTGCAGAGAAAAGGAACTCAACCACAAAGCACTCTCTCAGCCTATCTCCTGCTCCTGGCCTACTCCAGGCGGCCTTTGCCCCTCTGCCCACCTCCAATCTCGTCACCTGGTACCCCCACTGGCCTTTGGTGGTCTCTGCAGTCTTCCCTCAGCTTCTATTTCACAAGCACAGAAGCAAAGCGTGCGACTGGGGGCTGTCTTTCCAAACAGAACACCCTCACGGAGATACCACCCCAGTCTAGAAACAGGCCACCACCATGGATCTCCATACTGTGCGCTTGCCATCCATTGATTTCCTTTTCCTCTTTTCTGTTGGTGAATGTTATGTATTGTTTCTGGTTGGGGGTAACCATGAACATGGATAACTCTATTCACTGTCACCTTTTTGGTGGATTTTTGTGCTCATTCACACACAAGGTGTTATTTATACCAGCAGTGAGGTTGCTGGCTCCAAAGTTCTTGTGCCCAATTATGTCCCTGCCTTTTTCCTTAGCATATGTTAATTGTTCGACACCAGGGGTTTTGCAGTGACAGTTCTACATGTGTGTTCAGTGTGCTATTAGTTCATTTATGCCCCTGCTACCTTTCTTCACTTCCTTCCCTCTTTCTCCTTCCACAGCCCTAAAATCCCCCTTGTACTTTATCTCTCCTCCCCACCCCCACAGATGCCACAATGAGATGTCACCTGGCATGCTTGTCTTTCCAATTAATGCCACTCAGCCTGATGGGCTCCAGTTCCATCCAGTTCCCAGCAAATGACATCATCCTATTCCTTATAAAACTCCTCATCTTCTGGAGCCATTCTTCAGCTGTTCTGCGAACACCTAGCTGTCTCTATAGCTGGGCTTTTGTGAACAGTGTGGTCACAGGCAAGGGTATCCCGGTGTCTCTACAGTAAGCTGATCCCCTGGTGTACATACCAGGAGCAGTTATAGTTTTAGTTTGTTGGGGAGCTCCACACAGTGTTTGGAACAAATTTCTGTGCATAAAAGATATGGGAGCGCCTCTTCACACACATGCTGAGCAACACAGCAGCATCCTCCCCGGCATATAGATAAAGAGCTGCCTCTTGTACTTATTTCATTAACACCTTGCCAAGGAGAGGAGCGACAAGCCATGTACATGCATCAAACTTTCCAAGGAAAACAGAAACAATAGAGTTTGACACTGGTGTTTGGGACTCATGAGATTTAAGGCCAGAAAATCCCAACACCCCAGATTGGATGGGTCAGGAGGGACTCCTCCCCTGCAAGAGGATCAGTCTTCTGTTCTGTCCATGTCTCAAGTTGAGAGAATGAGGCCCACGGTAGAGAGGATGCCTGCTTGTCCCAGCTGACCAATTCAAACATTACTGCATTCAAATCCACCCTCCCAGACATACCCAGACCATAGGTATACCCTACAGTGAGCTAAACTGACACAAAAAATGATCTTTTATTAGCTGAGTGTCAGTGGCTCATATCTAAAATCCTAGAGGCTGAGATCTGGAGGATTGCAATTCATGCCCAGGTAGAAAAGGTAAGGAGAATCTATCTCCAACTAATCAGCAAAAAGCAGGACTGGAAGTGTGATTCAAGTGATAGAGCACTAGCCAAACAAGCTTCAGTCTCTGAGTTCAAGCTCAGTATTGATGAGAGAAACATATAAATGAACTATTGAACCATGTTAGTTTGTTACCCAGTCTGCAACCATTCCTTTTAACTATTGCATGGTATTCTATTGTGTGTCCACACATAATACATTTAAGCTTTTTTTTTTTTTTTTTGGTCAGTCATGGGGCTTGAACTCTGGGCCTGGGCACTGTCCCTGAGCTCTTCGGCTCAAGGCAAGCGCTCTACCACTTGAGCCACAGCACCACTTCCAGTTTTCTAGTGGTTTATTGGAGATAAGAGTCTCAGGGACTTTCCTCCCCGGGCTGGCTTTGAACTGTGATCCTCAGATCTCAGCCTCCTGAGTAGCTAGGATTATAGGCTGAGCCATCGGTGCCCAGCTACCTTTAGGCTTTATAAAAAAGAAAACAAGTATTTGTGTTACTCTGCTCAGCACTATGTTTATGAGCTTCATCCATGTGTTGTTTGTGATTGCAGGTCTTCTGTTCTCCATCCATGGTTGTGGAAAGTTACTCACCCAGTTAACAGGTGTGGGGTACTAACTCCTTACAGGTATCTTCACAAATGTGTGCTTTGCATCCTGTATGTCTGCAGGCAGTGTTGCAGCAGTATCTTTGGGGAGTGTAGAACAACAGCTTGAAATCACGGCTTTGGGCTTTTAAGGCAGGCGCTCTATTACTTAAAGCATGCCTCTGGTCCTTTTGCTCTAGTGACTTTTGAGATAATGCCTTGATTTTTGTCCAGGCTGGTCTGGAACACCCATCTCTCCTTCCTGCCATACCTGAAATGACTGGTGTATAGTGACACACCCGGCTTTTGCTGTTAACTTATGGACATTTTTGCCCTGGCTAGCCTGGATCCTAACCTCTCTTGTAGTGAGATGACAGGTACACATCACCACACCCAGCTATTGGTTGGGATGAGGTCTTATCAACCTTCTCTTCTGGGTTGAGGAGACATTCTCTTGGGGAGCCACAGGTCAAGCCATTGTTTGCTTGGGCTCTGAGTGGAGTGCTGAGTGGAGAGGCCTGTGTGGAGAGGCCTGTATGGATTGACAGTCCTGCATGGAGAAGGCCCACTCTACCCATTTTCTTTCTCTTTACTTCACCGCTCTATGACTTGTTTCTGCCATCTCCCAAAAGTTTCCTTTTTCTTTTCTTTGTTTTTCACAGACTATAATTTCTAAATATATTTGAGGGAACACAGCCCCACAGAAAAGTGTAAACATTTCAAGAGTTCCAGTAGAATGAATTTTCCCCCAAATTAGACACAAGGAAATAACCCAGAGAGAGATGGAAAATTACTGGCCACCAGAGATGAGAGGATGCTTTAGAGTACATATCATTCCGGTTTGATTAGAGCTGCCCGATTGCTCTTCGCCGTAACCAGGCCAACTGGCTCCCGGCAGAATTGAGACATATGTCTGCTTTGCCTTGATCATGTCACCACGCTGTCCCTTCCTAGCTTTCCCTATGCTCAGTGTTCTTTTCCTTAACTGATGGCGTGGTGGATCATCTGACTGTGTGTATAGGCCAGTGGCAATACTTGCCCACTGGAGTTATTTTACTATTTTGTTCTTTTGCTGTTGTTGGTTTTTTTCAGAGGAGCTACTACTGGGTTTGAACTTGGGACCTCAGGCTTGCTAGGCAGGCACCTCAACACTCAAGCCACACCCTTTGTTTTTTCTTTTCAATTATTTTTCAGATAATTTTTGCCCAAGGTTGGTCTCAGATCACAATCTTCTTACCTGTGTCCCCCACAGAGCTAAGATTATAGGTGTGAATGACCACAACTGTGTGTTGAATTAGAACCTCAGTATCTTTTGTGCCCTGGCTGGCCATGAGCCACCATCTTCCTGATCTCCATCTTCTGACTAGCAGGGATTATAGATGTGAGCCACCAGGACACCAGGCCCAATGTTGTGTTTAGACTCTGCCCTCATGAACTCATACTTAACACAGCTCTCTCCTCTCAGCTGCATTCATGACAAACTCCATGTCCTTCTGTTGGAGTGCACTGACCGCTGCCTTGGCCTGGATGGATCACGGGACATCTTTCTCCAGAGAGTTCATGAGCTCTTTCTGCTGATTTCAACACCTGCTACCTCCTAGGTATCAGGGACAATGAACTGCAACACCAGCCATTGGCCTGTTGGCTTACATGATGTTTTCAATGCAAGCCATCAGGCTCTGTAACTGGCACAGGATACAAGCAACTTAGTGCCTGTGGATTCACACCTGGCCAAGAACATGAGACTCAATGTGAATCAGTCTGTGGTATGGGAATTCAACATGGTTACCACAGCAACTCACCCTGGTGCAGGAACTCACGCCATCTGGGAAACTCAGAGCCCTCCTGGAGTCTGGGGGGGAAAAGGGGCAGAAGTCATGGCCCTCCTCAAAGGTGAACATGCAAAGGGGAAATGCAGAGCCTTCCCTGTCCACTGTGGAGCTGTCCTGGAAATCAAAGGAAAAAGAGCGAAGGCACCATATGAATTAATGAAGTACATGCTGATGTTATTTTCCTTGCCAACCCTTCTGCAAATGCCCACTGCACCTGTGCCCCGAGTGAGGCCTCTGGATCCTGTCTAGCTGTGTGGCGTTGCTGACAGACACAGACCCATGACTTTTCTGCAAACCCTCCTGTGCAGGCTGAGGTTAGAAACGTGGATATGAAATGAGTATGTGCTACTCCACTGCAGTGGCAAAAATAATGTGCGTGCTCCCAGTGATCTCCTGCCCAGGAAAAAAATGCTAGGTCTGAAAGCAACCTCGGCCCTGACAAATGTGTAATTATGATTGATTTCAAGGATGTAAACATGATCTGAATTAATAAACCCTCTGAGTCATCCAGATCCTCCTGTTGAAGTGGGAGCAGATGTGGGGCTTTCTAAGGTAGGCAAAGTGGGGAGATCCTGCCAGGAAGCCCCATGGGGGTGGCTCACTCTTGGGGTACAGCTGTAGCCCAGGCCAACGGCAGGGTGAGGAGGGCTGGGCTGGCTCCCGCACTGTGACAGTGCACGTGGCTCTTCCCTGTCATCAGATAGAGCTTTCAGCAAGGTGGGCTCCGGGCAGGCTCCTAGTCACAGCCTCCGCTCAGCCCAGCTCCAGCAAGAAGCTCTGGTTAAGAAGATGAGGTGCAGGCAGGGGCCGTAACTGCCCTGTGCTCAGGACGCTGGCTGGCCTCTCCTCTCCCCAGCTGCAGGTACAGGCACAGCCAGGTCCCTTCCTGCTCCAGCTATGCCAGCCAGCTTCCCAGAGGGCAGCTCCTTGTCCACCTGGACGGTGCCAGGCCCAGATCCTTCCTTGATGGCTTGCACCGGGACAGTGGCCTTCACAGAGGAGGTGGAACATGAGGAAGGGGGCTCCATCTACTCCTCCTTTAGGGTAAGTATCCCAGCTCCCATCCCAAATCCTGACTTTAAAGTCAGGAGCAGGTAGCACAGAGAAGACCCTGTTGTGTCATAGGTGGTTGTGTGGTGAGTGGCTGTCATTCATTTTCTTTATGGGAAAAAAAAGGAGGAAAAGCCTCTAACCTGATGAGCTTAAGCATTAAGATGTTCAGTGAACAGGTGTGTTTATTTTCTGCTATTATTATTTGCTGGTGAATCGCGGGAAATGTTTAAGAGTGAGTGGTTCTGGTTTTTCATTTTACTTTTGTTCTGTTTTAATGTTAGGTGGAAGAAATTTTAGTTAACACTGTAACTCTGTAGTGGAATTTGAAATGTCTACTTCTAACAGAAATGGTAACTTTACTACAGCAGCCATTTCCAGTTACTCTCTGCTTGCTCACTGGTACAGCTAGGGATTTCCAGCTAGGATGGGGAAGTGTGGACAGCTCACATGCTCTGGGGACCGAGACAGATGTCCTGAGAGTCTTGGTGTGGAGTGAGGCAGGAGGTGCTATTGATTGTGGACACTTCTCAGGGAACATTCCTGAGAATTCTACCACTCACTGCAGTAGTTGGAGCCAGAGTTTGCAACAAGTTGCCTCCCAGAACAAATGAAAACTATCAGCTCTGTACCGAACATCTCATTGATCCTCACAAAGTCTTTCTGGCTTTACAAAAAGACCTGGTGGATGGAAACAAATCAGGTATCTAGAAAAGCCAAGATTCCTGCTTCTTGCATGGAAAGTTGGGTAGCCAAGTTATTGGACATGCTGCTAGCCTCATCCAGTGTTGAGTCATTGGACTGAGACATCACTCTCAAACTGGCCCTTTTGGCACCAGGGGAGATAAGGCATGCAGAATCCCATTGTCTCTCAGTTGATACGGTTTTTTAATTCTCTGGGTATTCTTGAAATGATGGGGATTTTACACAAAAGGTAGAATGACTGTAAGATCCATCTGTTTTCTGTAGGTTTGCAGCTGCTCGGCAAATAACTTTGAATAAAACTTTCACCAAGGAGCTAGTTGTGTGGTGAGCCAGCTTCACACTCAGGGGCGGAGAGGCCCTGCAGTAAGACAGGATCTGAACAAATCATTGTTGCCAGCTTCTCTCAAAGTCCCCTCGTCAAGCATGCACAGACACAGCCCGGCTACCGGGCTCCAAGACACAGCACAGAAAATAAAACAGGACTTACTGTGGACTGAATAATTCTCTTTATGAAATCATACTCTGAGATTCTACCTTGGCAGGCTTTGTGCAGGCAGGAAACACCAGTGCTACTCAGCTACCATCTCTGTCGCCTTTGATACTTGTGAAATGTGACTGTGAAGAAGGAGAAGAGAGACTAGCCTTACAAAATAGATCATCATCATTAAGATAGCTGTTGCTTACTCTGAGACTCAGGCAATAATTGCTCTCAGCCCAAGCTTTTACTAGTTGTTGTTGTTTTTTAATCACCACCCGATGGGATGTTTTGAATACACAAACAAACAACAAAGCCTTGCTCTGGCTGGCACTCATGTTTGCACTTTGGGTCCCAGCCATGACCTCTCTGGGCACTAAAGAGAATCCCATTGTCTGTCATCTGCATCTCTTTCTTGCCCTTGAGTTTGTCACAAAACAGGATGAAGAAAAGCAGAGAGCAGAATTATGTCTCAACGGAAGCTTTAAATGTTTAGATTTGTTTGCTAAGCGATCCATTCATTGAGAATGAAGCAGAGGTTTTTAGATACACAGCAATCAGTGGTAGAGTCCAGATGATATTTCTTAGTGAGACTTTTCCCCCGTGATCTCCTGTGAGTGAAGCAGTTTGCATGCAGTGTTGATACCGACCTCTTCCCAAGCAAACCACAGGTCACTGTGACTCCTTTTATCTAAAGCTCTTCTGAAGGAAAATATCAAAGCTGTTCCCCCTTTACTATTTCCCAAGTGAGTCCTATAACTTCCCATCACCTTTGTAAACAGAAGGAAAAGTCACACACACACCGGTGAAAGTAGCAGAAGTCATTTGTGGTGGATTATTTTTGCCAAGAGCTCACTGTGTGACTTAGGTAAAACGTCTTATTTAATTCTCAGGATGTTCCTTCTTTCTTCACCTTTATCTAAGTCATTTCAATGTTTTTTTTTTTTAATTTTTGGTGATGCTATTGAACCTGACGCATGCTGTTTGATAGGGAGGTACTCTACTACGTGGGTCACACCCAAGAACAGCGATATGCACAATCAAGTTGATGACTATAACCTGGAAAAATCACCCAGTATAACCCACTAAATACCCGGCAGTTGAACCATGTTGGTAGGATGAGGGTGAGGGGCAAGGGCAAGGAGAGGATTTTGATGAATGGAAAGAGAAGATAAATATAGTCATACTGTTCCAATGGGAGAAAGGAAGAGGGAAATCTGAGGTGACTGGTGGGGGAAGGGATAGACAGTAGTAGGGAATGATGGAAGGAATGATTCTGAGACATTGGACATAAAAACTGGCATGGTGAATTGTGACCCCCCCCCCCCAGCCTCTATAACCATTTGTAGATTTAAAAATATATTATAAAATAACAAGTATTTGTTGTTTATGCCTAAAACTAGAGCCACTATTATAAAGCTGGTGTGTGTGTGTGTGTGTGTGTGTGTGTGTGTGTATTCAGAACATATCTCATCAAATAAATCGCATTAGGGGACGTCTGTGAAATAAAACCTGCTAAAAATCATATAAGGGATCCTCTATAAGCATGAACTTCTCAAAAGACATGTTTGGAGCCAGCAGAAGCTGCCATCCTTGCCTCTACTTACACAGAAGGACTCAGCCAACACCAGAATTTCCCCTTCCAAGAATCTCCTGGAGGGCCTTTCATGTCAACCAGCCATCTGCTTTCTATTTCTTTATATATGCTTTTATAGTTCTTTAAAATCTCTTGGCTTTGGTTATTGTTTGGATTCTTTGGCTCACATGACTCCACTTGGATTTTGACACCTTTGCTTGCTTTTCTGAGCAGTTTTCCTCTAAACGGTTTGTCTCTGAAGTCTCCTCTGCCGATGCGGCTGCTGAGCTACCCCACAGATTAGCCTTTGCCCAGATGGGCTAGTCTAGTCTCAGGCCCATGGGGGAGGAATAAGCCCCGTGCACTTCAGTGCCAGTAAGACTCTTTGGGCCAAATTTAGGGCAACAAAGAGATTTAGGAAAAAGTGGCTGTTGTGTTGAGCTTTCCTGACACTTTTGTTAAGTTTAATTCTGTCTTCCTGTAGGAGCCATCCCAGTGTCTCAAAAATGCGGCTCAGGTTGCTGCTGTTAGAAGCTGTACACTTGTGCAGAATGTCCACAGACAACAACTTGGAAGTTTTACTAGAAAAAAAAATACCAAATAAAAGCAACACAAGAAAATATTTAACAATATTTGGCAAGTCAGGACTTGCCAAGATTCATTTTCCCTGGGTCTGATCACAAAGGCTTCAGCAGTATCACACTGTAGGTAGCAAAATCTTTAGAAGCACCATGGTTAAAAGTGTGAATCAACAGCCTAACCGTCAACAGACCCTCTCATGTATCTTACACGTGGGACTCCCAGGAAATCAGAAAGGAGATCTGTGTGAGTTCAGGTGTCCTGAGCTCTAGCGACGGCTTTGTATAATTGGCCTCGTGGGGTTGTGGTTCACTACTCCCCACAGAGGCTTTGGTTTGCTTCATCACTTCTGATTTCTGCTTTCAAGTTGACTCACTGTATGAAAAATACACTGACCTATCAAGATCTGAATGGTTCATGTGGCCTTGCACAACCACATGCCTGGTGAGAAGACGCACGTAGGGCACGTTGCCTGCCTCCTGTAGGCAGGCCTCTCCCTAGGCTCTTCATTGGCTGAGCACTGTGGGTGCACAGTCTTCAGGATGTTGCCTAAGTGCCCCTGGTTTTTAACAAGGCCTTCTTCTGTCGCTCTTGATTCCTTGGTCACAAGAAGCCTAGTGGAAAGTCAAGGGGAGGAGATCATCTGTGGCGAAGGAAATTACCTCAGTGATAAAAGACTACAAATGCAGCTCAGGCTTGTTACTCCTAGATAAGGAGAGAATGAAAACTGAGAATGCCAAGTGTCCTAATCATGATTTCACTCTGAATTGACTGCAGGGGGTGGTGAAGAGCGATCCACCAGGAGAAGAGCTATTATTTATATGTAAATGTTTGCTTTTAGGTGCTAGGGGGTGATTGGACACAGCGTGTTCCCTTTGTTTGAAGGGCCTTCCTGCCGTGCTGTGCACTGTTCGCTTTCTAAACACACTCTGCTCCATGGATATAACCAAGGCAAACTTCAGCTCCCCTGGAACCCACTTATCTCCCACAAAGCTTGTCCAAGAGCTCAGTTCAAGCAGCTCTGGATGCATGCATAGACATGTGCACACGTATAGACAATGCGTTCCTAAGACCTCGCTGTACCTCCTCTCCCGTGTGCTGGTCTTCTCACCTCTGATCATCGACTCTTCTCCACCCAGGTACTTGCTTTCTTCGACCCCAGCCTTCACCCTCATGGTTCTGCAGGACTTTCTGGCCTGCCTTTCTGCCCCAGTACCCAGACTGAGTGGTGCCTTTGCAAGGATCAGAAGCCTACTCCCTGCCCTTTGTGGTGAAAGGTCTTCATTTACATTGAAGGCTTTAGTCTCTTATTGGTTTCACTCCCTCTGTAATGTGCAGTTCTGCAGTTGAATCCTACAGCCTTTCCTAAAGGCCTTCCTCATTCCAATGCTTATTAAAGGTTGAATCCCTTCCTGGGTCCTTCTGCTTTTCAGAGCTCAGTCCTCCAGAGGGTGAACTCCATCCGCTCAGCAACACATCTGTCTCACTCTGTGCTGCTGACACAGGCGCCAGCCATAGTTCATTGGCTTCACAGGGATAATGAACAATCTCCAAGCTATGTATGAGTATGAAAAAAAAGTAATGTTGCTCAATCACTTTCCCTCTGTATTACTAACACATAGGGGGCCAAGAGACACCGTCATTGCTCAGTCAGCATGG